TTTTCTCTCTCCTGGTCTGTCTAACTTGACCTACATCTCGAGTTTAATTAAATCGTAAGCGATCGGGACGCTTGATACGCGACGAGTGTGAAACGATTTTCTTCTAAAGATCTAGGAAGACTATGTTTCACTGGGGGGCGTGGTTTAAGTTCTTTAGTTCTACAAGATGTGTAGAATGGGTTGAGATTAGGGCTGTGTGAAGTAGATCGTTAATTGGCGATCGAGTACCTGATACGCGATGCTTAATTTCATTACTAGGGGAAGATTTCCATAATTGAGCCACCCAAATATTTTTTATCTAAACTGATAATGAATTATTTTTTGAATATCAAACAAAATGAACCAATCTAAATAGTGATCCAATTAAAGAAACTCATCCCCCTCATAGAATTTTATATTATCTGTGCTTGTCTACGAAATATCTAGTTGGTGCTAGAATGCATTACGATAAAAATTGACTGACTTGCCTGGAAATTTCTCCTCGTTTCTTCCGTATCTACATCGCCTACAGTCGACTTCTCTGCGACGACTGTTCGCCGATCCCCTTTCACCGTTCCTCTTTGATTTTGCGACAAGAGGAGCACACCGAAGATAGACGTGTAATGAGGAAGATAGCTGGTCGAGGAGGCGAACTGCAACGAGAAGATGGAAGGTAGGTGGAGGTGAGTGGAAAGTAGGAGGAGGTTGGACGAATCGATGGCACTCGGCGAGCAAGAATCGAGAACGAAGGTGTCGTGGTAGCTTCGAAATGGAACCCTTCACATTTGCTGCCGTGGCTCGAAGAGGGCCGTCATTATAATACCGAACATCGCGTACCCTCCCTTCGCACTCTTCCATCATTCTCTGCTCGTTAGATCGGTGCGCACGCAAGAATTCGCACTCGACCACTTTCTTCGCCATTTCCTTTCTCTCTATCATTCCATACAGGGTGTTAAAGAAAGAAGAACTTAAGATTTATCTATTAAGATTCTAATACCTGAACTATTATATTCAAAAATCAACCCTTTCAAAGTTATTTTTCATTTTGTGCAAATATGATTCTACCAATGTAAAGTAAAGTCAAGAAAGAAGAACACGAGGAATACTTTTGAAAAAAATCATTTTTTATTAGAGTTAAAAATTTTTTACAAGATCAAAAGATTTATTTGTTATTTTTTCTCAGTTTTGAAGGCATGATCTATTCTTGAACACCCTGTGGATACATACATACATCCATCTTTGAAGTTGCTCCGCCTCGCGACACCTCTTTACCTGGCTGCGCGGCTTGCAATCCAATTTGCTCCCTCCTCCGTGTTATGACACAATAAACTTTGATTATCATAAGATATCCGGCTCGTTTCTGGAAGCTCCAGACCAACGGGGAGCACGTCATTATAATGTGCTCGGTTCCTCGTTAGCTCGTCAGACGAGCCTTTCCCTCGACGACAATCTACCGCGATTACTACGGATCTAATGGAATTTTTCCATTAGCCGGAAACCGGAGATTCGCGACGTTCAGAGTGGCGAACGGAAGCAAAACGAGATTGAAACGCGTTTCACGGCGATTTTTTTTTTTTTTTCTATTCCCAGCCGTGTTTCGATCGAAGAGGGTAAATTAATTGAAATAACCCGAACGGATCGATGCCGGTTTGCCGGGAAATTCGTTATCCAGCGATCTTTTCTTTTAAAATGGACACGCAACTGCGATGGCGCATTGTTGTCGGGAGAAAAGGACTCGAGGCTGTCGCGCGATAACAAAAGAGAAAACGATATACGCTTGGAACGGTCCGTCGCGCACTTTTGCCCTTCCTCTTTTACACCCTCGACCATCCGAAGATCGCTAAGTATTCAGTTTAGTCGACTGGCTCGAGTCGAACGATTCGAGATGAATCGACTAGCTGTACGTTCCCCCTCGCGACCGTTTTACGTAGGCGTCGAACCGTGTATAACGATCGACCGGAGCACAATGATCCAGGATAGGGAGAAACTTCGATTCTTCGCCGGTGACACCTGATACCGCGTAATTAGATGGGGCGTAGGTTTAGGGGTTGAAAGTTCAACGGATCAGAATGTAACCGGGAGATAGGAAACACCGAGTGTACCATTGTTCAGCCTCTTCCCTGTTCAATTGAACAATTGAAATTTCATTTTAAATACCTGTTGATACGTTCAATTTTAATTTAAGATAATTAGATAATTAAATTTTTGGGGGATTTAAAATTTTATCAAAAATTGTATTTATTTTTCTGTCATTTCCACGAGAATTTTACCGTTTCCACAGGGTATTACGAAGCGTGTAAATTCACTCGACTGAATTCTTTCATGAACCTCGTAACGAGCCAGGCGTGGCATCGACGATCCGTGATACAATGACAAAGTTGGGGACGGTGTAACGGCAATATGCACACCGATACGCGACTCGATCTATCGAGGGATGAAGAGGGTAATGAAGAGGTGTTGAACCGTATCCCATAAACCCCCATCGTCGCGAGAACCAAGGGTCTCTTTGCATAATAACTTACAGTTCGCTCATCAGTTACGGGTTTTAACCAATTACGAGGATATTAATGGGGAGGGAAGTTGAACGTTAGCTGCACGCTGTGTACGATCCTGTGTCCCAAAACACAGGACAGACGGGGGATGAGTCTCGTTTATGTACCTCGACACGTTATATCGTTCAGGGGATTTCGCGTGTCCTGCTGCGTCGGATTTTCCGTTCCCTCGACAGGATATATCTGTTTGTTTTCATCGAATTAGCTGGTACTTCTTTTTCCACCCTAGACATTCGTCGATTCGTTACCACGTTGATTGTCGCTATAGAAATGGACAAATTAAATGAGCCAATTTAAAAATTTTTAATTTTTATTTGGTGCAGATGAAAATAGAAAATACAAAAATTTCCAGAAACTATTGCGGTAGAACGAGTCAGTCCCAGCGACGGTTACTTTTGTGGTTTCTGGTTGGTCGACGAGAATGTAACTCATGGCACCGGTATGAAAGCGAGGAGGCAACGAACGACTCAAGAAACAGCGTGATGCCGACTCCAGGTGTTAATAATCCTCCCCTAATTGTCCCACCTCGGCCTGGATAATTCCCATTAAACGCCGCTAAATACTTGTTTGTATACAACCCCCGCTGATCCGAGAGAGACTCTTTTACACCTTTCTTGAAAGGTAACTAAGGACTTCCTGTCGTTTTTAAGAAACACTCTTCAGCATCGTTCATGCCTCGGTGAGTCGACGAGAGAAAAGGTGTGAATTCGTGAAATTTTTAGAGGTGAATTCGAAGAGTTTCGAATAATAAACGCTTAGTAGATCAGAAAATTTATTTATCAGATTTCTTTTTTTAAATTATCTACTTACTCTTTGTTCATTGAAATCGCTGTTTCTATTTCCGTATTGATTAGTTTGTATTCAAGACGCAAATCCAGGGGTAGGAATTCGAACTGCAATTTCAGCCAGCAACCCGGAAACACGAAATTCCTTGTTGACACGTACGTCGAGGTAGATATACTATCTATAGACAGGCTACACCATAACGACCAACGTTTGATAAGGGAGCGCGACTACAGGGTGAGCCGGTGGTCGGATGAGTCGCCCGATTTAATGGATAGAGGACAGATTCTGCAAAGATACATCAGAAGGCCGACGAGATATCTGTCTCGCAAATCAGAACAGAATCACGTCGTCGTTTCTCCCTCTCTGTCCCTCTGATAGGTGTCCTTCGATCCCTCAACCTTCCTACCACCCTCTATACACATCGATCCGTCTCTTTTTCCAACCTTTGACTAACTTTCACCACCCTCTCCCTCTCGTGCATTCGATAGTGCCTCTACGACGCCTCTTTCTAACGGACGACAGATTGCATCGAATTTAATAGCAAATGATGCGACCCACGTTGTCACCCTCTTTGCCGATACTCTTTTTCTTCTCTATCCTGCTCTTGGCACGAGATGTGCTCAAGGGTCGGCTGTTTCTCCGCTAGCCAGTAGATTAGGGATCGAACAGATGATGCGAACGAGAGATTAGGACTCTCCTACCCTCGTTACGTACATTATACCTCGAGTTAAGTCTTCTTTTCCTCGGCAAATCGATGCTACGAAGATTTCGCAGAATCTGCTCCAAGAAACTTGATAAATTTGAAAATTCGGATTAGGAGAGGCTAAGAATTTTATATTTTAGACAGCTATTATATTAACACTTGGTTTTGGTAAAGAATATAATTTACTTTTGGTATTTATTGAATTATAATTCAATTATTTTCGAAGGAATTTAGAAATAGGTCAGAAAAGTAGAAATGATTCATTGGTATCGATGATTTTATTGCATTGGATCAACTCATATTTACAATAAGGGGACACATACATATGCATTTTCATCTACTCTACCGATTATCTACATGTATAACGTTTTGTTTTCCCTTATCTTCGCCATTTAATCATGCTTAATTAATTCATCCTCGGTACGCTTATCTAAATTCGTTAGAAAAAGAAAACGAGATACGAACTGAAGGAAACAATTTTCAATAGATATATAAATTGAAAAATAAAATAAACGATATCGCTTGTCGAATATTGGAGACGTAAATAAAAATGCATAGAACCGAACATTTAACACTTTCTATTGCAAAAGCTCGTGAAAACGATCGTTTATTAAATCGCAATGGCCACGAACGATCCTGAACGTGTCCTACGGAATAATTACAACACGGTATTTATTAATGGCCAACGACACTGTGCTCGTTGTGTCTACGCGTCACTTAAAAGCTACTATCACACCGAATTTTATACATTTCGCCTAAAGATAAATAGAATATGCGATCAACGTGTATGTGTTCATTCGGTAATGTATACACTTACCAGTCAATTAATTATATCAAATGTACGTATCGTTTAATAAATGGAATAATAGACATTTTTATATTTAATCGATACTTTTGTTAAAAATCTTACATCTATTAACTGGTGAGTGTATACATTTACTAAATTTTAGAACGTTGCTCTAAAGCTCCTACCTTCGAGCTTTTTCTTTTTTTTTTTTTCATCACGAGTGAACGAAGATTAAAGCACTCGTCTAACGAGAACAAAGAAATTGATCGTTGCAAATCTATGTGTTACTTCTCGTTTCAACGGCACGCTCGTGAAACAAGCTCGTACAATTTCCATTTAATCGTCCCTCTGTCGCAGGTACAAATATTTACAATTATTTACATAAATAAGTAATCGTGTCTCGCGGAATACCATCGATTAAGCTTCCATGCGACGATTAATCCCGATATCATGGGGGACCGGTTTCCAATAACCAATAGCCACCACGGTGTCTGGACTCTCTCCTCTGTTGATTTACCTCCCAAACATGGTTTATTTCGTTCGATGCTGCCGGATTATTTGCTTTCTGGGGTTATATGTTTGCTCGATGTTTTGCAGCAATCTCGCAACTGCTCGTTCGGTTAAAATATCATAGTCCCGTCGTGATTGTACGCGACGGAGTCGTCTAATTCGATTATTCGTACTGTTTGCCAAACGGTTTCGCCATTGTCACGTTTGCTTGATTTTCCAAGTTAAGAATCTATCTGGTGTGTCTAGAAAGTTGTGAAATTTTGAATCAACAAGCAAGCTTTAAATCAACAATAATTTCAGTCCTGTTACTTTTTAGACACACCATATTTTCTGAAAGAACACACCTGTATCGAAAGAGAGATAAACTTTGAATATTTCTACTGAAACTTAAAAATTGTTCCAACAAAAATAATCGAATATCGTGAAATATAATGCAGCAGGTTTATCGGAGATAGAATTACCAAGTGGAAAGATTTTCCGCAATTTCAGAACGTGTTAATCAAAGCGTGAACAGTGTGATTTATCGAACGTTTTTGCTCGATGTCATCGGTTTTTCGTAGCTACAGATTAAACCACGAAACTTCCAAGTACGCGATGAAAGAACGATGGACAGGGATTGATCCGATACAGGTGCAACGATTCCCAGTGAATTGGTGAGCTCGGAATACAACGTATCCATCCGCTCTCCACCAGGAAATATTCTCTCTAAATATTTCCTCCGTCGTGTCTCGATCGGAAATCATTTCGAGGACCCTCTGTACGCGTCACTGAGAAAACAGAGACTAGTCTTACGATAAAAACAGGAATAATCTTCGTCCCTACGATTCGTTTGCTGTAGATGAGGTAGTTGATTGTCTCGAAAACCGTGCAGTAACACGTACACGCCGCATATTCCCCATAGTCTCTTTGGTATCTAATTCATGGTGTTCCAATGAAAACTCGTTTCAAAAATTCTGAAATTCTCATTAACCACGAGCATCGTTAAGAATATCATCGAGATCCTCTTCACTTCGACGGCTGCGCCAACTGGCCGATGTCTCCTGTGTAGCAGGGTGGACCAAGGATCATAGGACACTGGCTCTTCCTCTGGTAATGAATGTTCTCACCCTGTCACAACATTTTGCTGAGATAACTAGTAGATCCTGGCGGTGGTAGCAGAAACGGGCTAACGAACGAGGCTGGTCCGTGATGAACGGACGCGTAACCAGACTGTTGGTTGTGGCTCTGGGCGGACGTACCCAGACCGTTCAGCACCGGTGGTCCCGTATCGTGAAGCTTCCTCATGTGTTTCTTCAGATCGAAGTTCCTGCAAAATCCTTTCCCACAGATCTTGCAGGAGAATGGTTTCTTATCGTTGTGCGTGTGCATGTGGAAGGTCAGATTGTAGATCTGATGGAACGCTTTGTTGCAGATGGTGCACTTGTACGCCTTTTCGCCGCTGTGGGTGAGCTTGTGATTCTTGTAGTTGCCCTTCTGATGGAAGCCCTTGTTGCAGTATTCGCAGACGAACGGCTTGTAATTCGCGTGTATACGCCTGTGGGTGTTCAGGGTCGAGCTACGATTGAAAGCTTTGTTGCAGGTCGGACATTTGTGCGGTTTCTCCGCCGTGTGGATGATCTTGTGCCTGCAGAGGGTGCTCGCCTGACGGAAACCCTTGCCGCAGATCTTGCAGACGAACGGACGCGCCCCAGTGTGCACCGGCATGTGTCTGGTTAGATTGTAATGGGCGTTGAACACCTTGCCGCACTCAGGACAGGTGAAGGTCTTTTGTTTATTGCTGCTGCTGAGCTCGCTGCTCCGAGGCGCGGGACTCTTCTTACCCCGTTGACTCTCGGCCGAGGTCTCCGTCAGGCTCACCTTCGAGAAGGCTTCCTGAATGGCGGTGCACAACGGTGAATTTTGAGGCACCGTAGGCGCCGCGGGTGGTGGTGCTGGAAACGCTCTGAGCAACGAGTTCGGGTAATAGAGGAGCGAGTAGGGCTCCAGAAGATTCTGATGCCTCAACGTTGGAACGTACTTCTTGAAGGCCGAACTGAAGCCCAGGTGAACGGAATACGTCATCGAGGGTAGATTCGGGGGTTGTTGGAGGATACTTGACATGGTCGGTGTCGTCGTCGATGGTGGCGGTGGTTGAGGTGTCGTCTGTTGATTGCTTTGCTCGGTCAGACGTTTGTCGGGTTCCATGATCTTCGCGATGGAGAAGGTCAGGTTTTTGCAGGGTGCCGGCGAGGTAACCCTCTCTGGCGGGAGGCTGGTCGGTGTTTCGCTCGCCATTGTGCTGCCGGTCGAGAACGGTTGCATGGTAGAGGCCTGGAATTAAAACGATGGAAGGGTCAATTTATTTTTCGCATTGAACAACTTTTGCAATAATTTAATAATTTTTACTCTCGAATTTCTATGCGAGTCGTTTTTCGAAAATAGTCCTAATCGAATCGATTAGTCTAATTCTTAGCGTGACAAGCGGTGGACACGAGGCTTCATCGGTTGAGCAATGGGGGAGTACCTAAATCATGGCGATCAATTTGATGACTTCGAGGAGCGTCGTTAGTGGCCGCTCGATCCTCCCTTCGCAGAAGTCTATTAGTGTTTTAGTGCACGGAGCAACCGGAACGGAACCCACATGTTGGCGAATCCGAGTGAAACATGTGGTACCGCTATTATATCCACTCAATTGGCCCTCGTGTTGACATAAAAAATGTACGTTCGCCATTGAACGATGGGGGCTAGGAAACGACGACGAGGGAATTCATCCTTAAGTTAACGTTTGCTAAAACACGTTTCGATGAAAAATCCGAAATTTTCAAGTGGTCAATGAATTTTATCGACGACCAAGGGATACTTTGCGTCAAGCTAATTACCTATGCGTACGCAATTTGAATGTTGATTCGCGCGTAAAACAGCATGAATATACAGGTAGCCATTAAGCATGTGTAACATGGAAAAAGGGGGATGAATGACGGGGTTGAATGAGTCGCGAAATGGTCAGCACAGTTAAAGAGCAAGCTTCGTCGAGGTATCACAGGAGGTTTGCACGTGGAAAAGTAGAAATGTTTGCCCCGAAGAATGGCGTTATGTTTGGACTTGGAATGACGGCTGGAATTGGATAGGACTGGTTGGGGGTAGCTTCGTGGAACGCTCGTTTCCGTTCCAAGAAAGTTCACGGCTTCTCCTGGGCACAGAATATCGAAAGGAAAGTAGGTGAAAAACTTGAGAATGATATTTAATTGATGTCACAAAAATTTTTGTTTAAAATATGAATTAAACAAAGGGTTAACACCCTGAAGAATTTAGAGCTTACGCAAAATTTCATACGAAACAGCGAAACATCCGATGTCAGAGTGAACGTGGTATTTGATCAAGATGAAAAATGCATGCTTTCAGAAACGATGGAAACACCGAACCCCTCGACAGGGTGGAATATGATGCAGTGGTCCTGCCCAAAAGCTCCGCCCATTAGCCGGTACCTTTCGATTGTCCCGCAGCTAAAGGCAGCCCTAATAACCAGGGGAACAAGGAGCGGAAAAGCAACCCCGGTGTGAGAAGCGAGACTGGAGAAGGGAAACGATCTCCTCGCGCACCCCCGAAACGCCCCTATGACCTATAGAAAAGCGTAGACGTCGGGCTTTATCGCCATGGAACGGCGCAACTGTCAACGAGAAAATGACAAAGGACATGATTATGTACCTTCGAGTGCTCGTAAAAGTAAGCTCCGACTTCAATCCCCTCTTCTTTGATTTCTACCCTTATCGAACGTCTTCCTTACATACTTTCTTTTCAACATCTTTCTGTTTTTTAACCCTGCTCTTCACTTTTTAGTGATCCAATGACGAAAAATTAACATTTTAAGGACATAGGATCCATATAATTAATATTATTTATTTCACAGGTTTCTCCAATCACTGTTTGCACTTTTCCTAGTCCTACCCTTCTCGCCCTTTGCGTTACATTCCCATCTTCTACCCTGTTTTCTCTTTTACTATTCAAATATCCTCTCCCTTTTGCACTGAACACTTCAGTCCATCTCTTTCTACCCTTCGTTGTCCCTAGCACTTTTCAGAGGTGGTTCACTCGCTATCTATCTCCCTCTTCCTCGCTTATCACCGCTTCGCGTTTTCTAACCCGTCGCACTCGAAGCGGAGAGAAAGAGACACCGAACACGGGCGTTTTCAGTGGGGATCGAGGCGACAGGATTGGTCGTTGGTTCTATCACCCTTGGAAAAGTGACACGAGAGGGGTTAGTGGCGAGGGACGTGGTGGGGGCTAGTATTGTTACAGTACTTAACGAGCGGTCGAGGTAATCAGTATTGCTCCTTGCGGCACCCGACAATTCCGCCAATTTGCTTCAATCGCGGCTGAAGCATGGCCGACGTACACTCTAGGGATCATTTTGTTTTCTTTTTTTATTGGCTGGAATTAACCTTCTCTCTTTCTATCTCTCTTTAAAATCTATGAAATTTCAAAGCGAAACTGTTTAAAATATCCTAATCTATTTTTACCCAGAGGGTGAATTCTTGGACACGTCTGGTTGAAACGAAGGACGTCCTATTTTTGTTTCTCCGAGAAGTGGTCGATACGAGGGGTGAAACGAAATCCGGCTTCCGTGACCCACTCGATGAACACGGCCAACCCCCTATCGTGATCCCCGCGATTCTCTCAGGTGAGGTTGGCGTTAAATGTGCAAAGTTTACCGATGCGGTTACAAATGGTCCGAAGAATTCAATCACCTCCAGTAAACTATTAGGTGGCGAGGAGCTGAAGCTAAAGAAAGTTGAAGTAGCTCGAAGGAACTTGAAATGGCTTTGCAAATTTACCCGGTCTCGTTGTCGGCCCATTAATTATCTCCTCTTTCAACCGCCTAACGATCAACCTTTCGTTTTCTTCCTATGCTTACCTCGTCGTTATCATAGCAACAGAGGATCCAATTAGAATTTGTATTTTCTCTTAGAATCGACTATTTCCCAATGTGAACATCCCCAATCAGGCAAGCAAAAGTGGGCGTATAGGTGTTTCGCGTGTTCAGGGTGCATCAATCACCGGCTCCTTCTGTGAATCTACCTGCTCATGAGGTCGCACGCCCATCGTTCTTTCCCGTTTAAGTGGGCGATAAGAAAATAAGCTTGGCCCGAACGAATTCTGTCGCTTAACTTTATTACTCATCGCCTGCTTGACCCGTGTTGTCTTGTCAGTCTCTCGACATCACCGGACGCGTTCAAAGCGAAAAAACAGAAGAAGCTCGTTTCCTTCCCTCGAATTAAAAGCCGTTCCTGCGCGTCGACTCTTCGCAGTCGTTCGCGCGAGAGCTGCCCAGACATCGTGTAATTTTTATTAGAACGTCTCGAGGTCCGTGCGACGTCTTCGGTGTGGAAGAGGCCCCCATTAGCCGAGCTACCCTCATTGTTCCATCCCTGACACTCTCCGGCCTTCCGTGATATGGCGCGTGAACGGTTGACATATAATTAGCATTTGGGGTAACGAAAGCTCGACTGAGGATGACAGCAGGCACAATACACACCCCCTCGAGTTATCCTCTGTCCCATAACTCGGCCACAAACCCGCCCTTTCTGTCCCGGCCAACGAGCCCCGTAAGCCGATTCGAAATTAGCCCGCTTAATCGCCCCCAAGTGCTTCGTCGCCTTTCTCAGCGAAATTTTAAGGATTTCCACTTCTCTTCGTGCGATCGTAACGTGTCATCGAATTTTCTAAATTAAGGGGTACATGTTATTGAATATTTTCTAAATTTTTAAATATTTTCAGGGTACAATTTTTGTGATGGCTATCAAATGGCCCCCGTTTTATCACTTTGGTAGAAAAATGATTACTAAAGGGTGTATATTTTTTTCTAGGAATTTAAGCGTACACCATGAGTCGATTTCGAAGTTTCACGTTACGAGAAGTACTATTCACGGAGTGGATGATTTAAAGTTAATTGAAGAGTGATGGCGGTGGTGGCAGCGGTGAAGAGAGGCGAAGAGGAATAAATTGCGAGTCGCCTCGTGCGAATCAGTAGGGGCCCCCACCGGTATATTCCGGCGGGTGTATTCTGAATTAAGTCGCTCAGTTGTGCGCCGTTTACTTTGCTCCTCGACTGCTCTCGAATCGTTCTGGGGGAATGGCTTAATTTTAAGGAACTTTCCCAGCCGTTCCGCGGAAGTTTAATTTTATCCGTCGAATAACGTTACACCGTGAACTCTCTATGGTTTGTCCTGATACGCTCACTTGAAAATTGCTTCCCATCCCCCCATCGGATCGTTTTAAATTCGGCCTGTTCTAAAAATTTACAGCATGCTTTAATCTATGGAATCCAGTTTGAGAAAAAAATACTTTATTGGAAATTGGATATTCGCTAATAAGCTATGCAATTTATTAGGTACGATTGTGTTATCAGAGGATTTACCATTTTATTCGTGGCGCGTTGAGGAAAAAGCTGAATGGATACAAAATCTCACCGGGAAAACAGAGCCACTGACAAAAGGGGCATTGTTTAAAACGAAAACGAAGTGATTTCAGGGAGCCCTGCGTATGAGCAAGCGTGCAAGGGTCGAAAAAAAAGATCGTTGCCCACGTGCGTGCCCGTATGAATACGGCCGGCTTTCCAAAATGGCAACGAGTCCCGCTGAGCTCGATGCATCTCGAATTCACGTAGTTCGACGTATCGTCGAGTCGAGTAGAATTGGCAGGGGGTTCACAGCTGCGCAGTCCACAGGGGTTTTTTTTACCCCTCACCCTGTGGCGTTTCAATCCCGGCTGGAACGCCTCGTTATCACTGATTCGTCCTTTTCGTTTCTGCCCTCCAGTCGTACACGTCTGACCTCGTTAACTTATGAAATACCCCTAAGTTCCTCTTTTAATCCCATCATAATTTGCAAAAATATCAAATGAATTTATTATTTTTAACGTCTCAGGTGTTCATCAATTAGTGTTTAATTCTAGTCGAACTACCCCTGTTCGAGGGTTAATTAAAAAATACCCTATTTCTAAAAGAATGTCAAAAATATTTTTTGTTTTAAATTAAGCGTTTGCTCGACTGTTGAATAAATTAATAAATAGAAGAGTAAGGGTTTGACAAGAATTAGTGGTAATAATTGAAACAAAGAGAGTTCGCAAGCTGTCGGTTTATCGAGAAACAGGAACAAAGGGCGCGGTAAATTAAATATAAGAACGCACACGTGCCCTCTGCGAACGCGAGCTGACGATCGCCTCAGCGGGCGTTTCTACGACCCGCCGTCTGTGGAGCGTTCATTTCGCATTTTTCGGCGTCGTTGTTGCACCCCGCTGACAATGGGGGCCGCGTAACTTGAGATCGCCGGCCT